AGTCCTCACGTACTCCGTAGTAAACCGCCTCTCTCATTATTCTTACGACGCAGCGTAGACATATGGTCCTACTTGGCAAACTTGGCAATATCTTGGCAAGACGACGGCTGTCTCTCTCATCCTTCTCTGTCGACGTCGGTGTGCGCCTGCTGCAGCCGAACATTAAACGAAACCATGGCGTCAAGTTGTCTGGTTCCATAGTTCTGGCGCTTGTCTTCAGTCCGGTCCTCTCTTAAGTCTCCGTTTCCCCTGAGGTTGCCCTAACTCAAATTTGTCCCTTTCCTGCCACCTTGCCCACTCCTTTTCCCCTTCTCAGTTGTCCGTATTTTTGATTTTATTTGATTTTTCGCCATTTCATTGTCGGAACCAAATTTTCAATTCCTCAAGGGACGTTGGAAAGCAAGAGAGTCAGAGCTGGGGGGTTGTGCTTCTCTTTTGTATTGACTTGATTTTACTTCACCCTTCGTCCTTTCTTGAAAACCACAGCCAGGGCCAATCGTTCCGTCAACATTCCTAAGCTTGTTCCTGTGTTGGGCTGTTGTCAGACAGGCCGCGAGTTGTCTGGCACCCCACACTCCACTCGTTCAAAAGCGCTCAACCTCTCCCAGGTTCCCCACGATAAAATCGTCGCGAGCCGGCACAGGGGCACTTGAGCGCATGCGCCTTCGCGGCCCTGCCCGTCTTACCGCTCGCAAGTCTTCGAATGGTACGGGATCGCCCTGCCCAGCATGCTAAACAACTCTGTGCGCTCGACCAAGGGGATGGCCATCCTCGTCGGGGCCATCTTCTTCGTCGCAGCCTTCGTCGGCCTAGTATATAACCATCTCGACTCCTGGAATCTTCCTGTCAGGTACACACGCTTTATCGTCCTCCTGGTCCCGAGACCGACCGACCTCCGGCTGAGCTCTGCTGACTTTTTTGGCTCCATTGCCTCAATAGACCCCATACACAACATTCTCAACCGCGTCCCTCAACCACCGACGACAATAGCACCACGCCGATACAGAGGCCTCCTCCAGACTCCAAAACGCCAGCTGCAGCAACATCCACTGATGACGAGCTTCGACAATTCTTCCTTAAACAAATGTATAAACCCGCCCTTACGCCTGATGAACCCTTTTTTAAGCCGTATAATGCTTTCGAGTGGAGATTGCCCGAAGCGGCACATTGGCAGCAGCCCATGGGCGAGAATCTCTGCATCATCGATCTCGACAACCGCCTATTCAATGAGTCTGGCCAAGTGTTTGGCCCAGACGTTATGGACTGGGACAGTCCCAAAGGTGTGCACGGCCTGTCCCTTGGTCTTTTGAATCATTATGTGTATGGTATGTTTGTTACCCCCACTGGCGAGAGATTCCTGGTCCTGGCTGGCTAACAGAGGATAGCTCGCATTCACGGATACAAGTACTACTACATTAATACCGTTGACCCGGGTGATCGTCGGGCATCTTGGAAGAAACCCCCCGTTATTTCGAAAATTCTCAAGGAGCATGACGTGTGCATATACCTTGATTCTGACGCAATCTTCCACTATCTGGACCTTCCCTTTGAGTGGCTCATGAATTACTGGAGGCTTTATCCTGATACCAACTCCATGGCCCTTGCTGTCGACCCCGATACTGATTGGAACAAGGACCGCTTTGGCAAACTCTATCTCAACACTGGTTTCATCATTTCGCAAAATAACCCCATGACATACAAGATAATGGATGCATGGAACAGATGTCCGGACGATGACAGCCCGTATCCCGAATGCAAGGAATTCCGGTTGAATGCTCCAGGACGCCCGACGGACCAGGGCGGTTTTGGTACCTTTGTCCGCTACAACTATACGGAACATATTAGGGAGTTGCCCTGCACCGAGGCCAACGGCTTTCCGCAAACTGATTCTGGCTGTGACGGCATTTTTGTCCGACATTTATGGACCGGAAAGGACGATCAAATCAAGATCGACGTCGGAACGCAGATGCCTGGTCCCTATCTGAAGCTTTTCCACGAGCAATATTTGAAAGAGAAGCCTACTTTCTACATCGGACAGGAAGACTTGCTTCGTCTTGGTCCATCACAGGCACTGAAAGGCAAGTCTGTGATGCCATGATGCGCCAGCCTTTGGAGTGGTGGATTTATTGAAAACCGCCCGTAATTTCCAATAGTGTACGATACGAGTTGGGGTCTTGAGTTATTTTACCTCATTTCCTCCATTACATAACTATACCTGTGGCCTTTTGTTCCGCTTGGGCGCAATTTTGCCTCTGTTTTTACACACCTTGGCTGAAATCAATTTTTGGTCATGGGAAAATTCTATACAGCATGGATGGGGGAGGGGGGATTCACAGGAAGTGCATTGGAAGCAACCGGAGTTGATTTTGGGCACATGGCGTGCATAATACCCTAACGTACATAAACATATATATAGTTCATATGTACATGATGCATGTATTTGTGCTTTTTGGGCAGTGACCAATTTAAGAATGAAGAGCTAGTTGAGTGTATCATATTTTGTCAACCGGTCCATGTACGATTTCAGAAACCAAGCCATTGTCTAATCCACGTGCCTTACAGTTTATCTACCTCTTCCTCAGCTTCCAGGCGAGTTTATTATAACCATTCCCTCTAAAGAAAGATCTTCTCGCCAACCCCGGACACTTGGTATGTTTGCTGAGCTGGGGCTTCCTCACATCAACATGTGCGACTGGCCCTTCTCGGATGTTGGTATCTGGCGTCCTGCAGAAACGGCAAGCGAGATTGGTATATATCTCCGGCTTCTCGGACGAGTAGTCGCCATTCCGACATGACAATCCGTGTCTGTAGATGCAATGGGGTCGGATCTCGCCGTTCCAGCAGGGGACGAGGTTTCGCTGCTTGTTGAAGGTGCGGCGACAGGTTGTGCAGACGTGCCATGAGATGAAATGGAAACACATTTCGCCAAATCTAGGCTGGGGACCTGCCCTCGGAAATCGGAAAGATTGTGACACCGATAAAACTTGGAGTTGAAAAAAAAGGAGCAGAGAGTAGTCCTCTTCTTTTCGTCTCTTCTAGTCCGGGTCTCGGAAATGCAGACTTGTTAGTTGCAAAATCTGAGGCTGCGTCTACTTCTTGTCTGGGTAGGTGCAAAGATCGAGATATATATCACGCCGAAGTGACCCTTCCGGACCATTGCTAGCTCTTTCGGAGACTGCTCGAGATCGAGTGGCCGACGGTGTCGAGAGTCGAGACCCAACCGGCGTTATTGCCATGGAGGACGATATGTCAGCAACTATGGACACAGTAGCTACAGCAATCAAACACTCAGTGTAGCAAGACCGTTGCAATGAGCTCTGCAGGCAGATAACCAGCCTGCAACGACAAGATACCAGTGACTTGCCAGATCGTTCCAACGAGGGCCCAGGTTCATCTTGCGATTTGGCCTGCAGCTTACTTGAGCGGTGGCTGGCTTGCCTTGCTCACAAACGCGAACGGAGTGACAGGGCGCCCTCACTGCTTTAGTGTCGATTACTCGGAGCTGATAACCAGCGCTCAGCTGGCGGTGATGAAAGCGAGCGTCCGGCAGTTGTTATTCCTAGCCAACATGTAATTGTGCCTCTCCCCGTGGTCGGTTCATCAACAACCCTGCGTGGCTTTAATCCTCCGGGTCTGCCCAGATGACCATATTCGTCGGCGCATCCTCCAAGTCCGTGAAGAACTGACAAACCTGTCTATCCGAGTACCTCATGCTGAAATGGATCAAAATAAAGGTAGTCCCCGGCCAGCTGCGTATGACGGGCTCCAAATCGCTCCACTTTGTGTGCTTGGTTTTGTCCGCCTGCGCGGCATGGTCCTCGTACAAGAAGCTGCACTCTGTAATGACAACGGGTATCCCGTCCCGCAGCCAGGGCGGCTCGGAAGCCAAGGTGGCGATTGTGGTGTCGCCCAGAAACGCAAACATGGGCACCGAGTGAGGTTCTGTGATTTCCACGCCCGACCGTCGCAGATCCCGGAGCTGGGGCCCGGCGAGCGATTTGTATTCTTGCTTCAAGCGGTTAGTAGTGGATGAGAAGACGTATCCTACGCAGGGAACGGTGTGGTCGCAGTTGAACGCTGTGGCTGTGATGCCCTTTAGTCGCCGGAGCGGGACTGTGTCTCCGTGCATGACGCCGTGGGTGACGTGGGTGTTTAGAAATGCCCGCTCCTGGGGCGTTCGCCCGTCGGCGTCTGTTTCTCCATTCGTGTCGTCTACTTTGTAACCTTGCTTCTCTGCATCGCCTACCTCAACGAGGCCTCCCAGGTTCATCATTGTCGTGCCGAGAATGTGAGTGTCGAAGATGTGCTTCATTTCTGCGGGGCAATATACGTCTGGGGGATCTTCTCTTTTCACAAAGGCGAACGCTAGAAGCGTGTGGTCTGCGTGTCCGTGGGTGAGAAAGATGTGCTTTGGCCTTTGCTTGTTGACACAGAGGCCGGCGTCGAGGAGGAGGTTGAGCTGGGGGATGACGAAGGATGTGTGCCAAGCCGCGCGGGACCGGCCCGTCAGAACGAGGTGGTTGTGTGGCCTCGGGAATTTCCATTCCAGCACTTCGGAGCGTGTTGGTTGTGGGAGGGGCGTGGCAAAGGATATTTTGCCCATGGCTTTTGAGTGAAGCGAGAAGGGGGTCTTGGAGAAACATGGTGATGATATATCGAAGATGTACGGAGTTCGTGAGGCGGACAAAGGTAGTTCGTTTGGTGCCCCACAATAAAGTTGTTTGTTTTGACGGCAAGAATGCATTACCAGCAAACAGGCAAATGTCAAAATGCAGGCGCTTTGGAATTTTTTGCGTCACTGATACTGATACATAAATGGAGAATGATTCATCGCTGCGCTGTATACTTGCTTTAATTTCTAAATGGAATTGGGCATTCGCTATTCAGGGGGTTGGAGCCTCCCAGAGTACAAGACGTGAATTGAGTTACTTGTACATATATTGATATATCAGAAAAATAGATCTACCAAATTAACCACAATATCGTGCTTCTCTATCCGATCAACTACGTTGGGCCTCAATCCGACGGCACCAATCCCTCCCATGCGCCAGCTGATACGCACAAAGACTCGGCTCCAGCAAAATACTCACAAATGCCGCGACGCAGATGCCTCCACTGTCACTTACAGTGGTAGCACTCAAGCTAAACTCGCGCTCTTCTTCAGGGATATTCTCCATGATCTCAGCGAAGCAATTCACGTACACTGCCCCTCCCAGCAGGCCTTCCCAGAATATAATGATAAAGACAATATACACCGAAGGGATAAAGAAGAACAAACTTTGAAGAATCAGAAGCACCATGTTGCCAACCTGCAGGACGGACGGAACGTAGAGTGTGTGGATGCGGATAAATGGAGTGGAGGATCGAGAAATGAAGACACCCAGCTGATACAAGAATCCATAAAAGGGGTAAAAGCCACGATATTCTTCAAAAGGAGACGATTCGACGGGAAAGAGGAGGGTCGGCGAAACCCCTTGGTTGATGATGTACTCGGCGATGTACACAAGTAAGAGAGGTGCCATGTATGGAATAAACAGAGACTTGGCGCGCCTCAAGTTGTTTCTGAACGAGCTTGACCCCTCTGGGCTGTGTAGCGAGTAAGCTGCGTGAACATTCGAGGGGCCTGGCGCCAGCAGCGCAGACGAAGCCGCTCCCTGAGGCATATCCTCCACATCCTCTTCCGTAAGATCCTGGTCTGGAACCGTTTCATAGTCCTCCTGCTGCAAAGACTTTCGCAACGGATCCAGCGGCAAAATGAAGAAGAAGCTCACAAACATGACAGCAGGGAGAGACGCAGAAAACAGCAAGCTGTCTCTCACGCTGAATCTCCACCACTCCGTCAAGACAACGTACAGGCCGGCACCGACTAGGCCGGCAGCACCGGTCCCCGACCCCCATCCTACAAGGCTTATGTGTCCATAGTAGTGCGACAATCCCAAGAAGCTGAGCTCGCCTCCTCCGCTGCTCAGGCTCGCCAGCACCACCCCGACCATCTTTACCAACACCGATTTCGACGGCGGCGTTAACGCAACCATGAGCATGCCGACGGCCGACAAGGTAATGAAGACAAGGACTCTCACCCGGTACGGGATGTGGTGTATGAAGTACGGCGCGATGAGCTTGGTGAAGAATGACGGCATGACATCGGCGAGGAGGACGACGCCTTTGGGGATAGAGGAACCGACGAGGTCTTGGGCAGCCGAAAGAATGATGACATAGAGAACATTATTGATCAGGCCTGTTGCATCGCACGTCATGTTAGTCGCAGCTGTCACGAGATCTGTAGCGGAAAGAGGCATTGAGAAATCAGGCGCAGCGCACCGAATAGCCAAAAGGCGATGAGAACCTTGGTATCCTGGTGTCGGAGCAGGGACGACATTCTGGAGCGATACGTTGCCCATGATGAGCCTGGGTGCCCGGGCATGGGGAGCAGCACCGACGAAGACGATGGCGTGCTGCGGCCTGTCATTGTGGTGGATGTGCAGACATGGCCTCGATCTGGGGTCCCGAGATCGAGGGTGACGGGTTGCGGCAAGGAAGAAGCTGGGGTTATGGATGTCCGCGACGTCACGCGACATGCGGCTGTACATGGCGAGGACTGGACTGCTTTGTACCTGATACGCCTCACCACACCACCACCACACCACAATGCAACTCTGTTAACAGTTGTCGAGTACAATATCGGGTTACATTGAAAAGAAAAAACCTGCATGCAAGAACTTCTGCATTTTGTTTCTAGAACCTATATCCGACAGACCCTTATCGCGGGGAATATCCCTGTCTCCTTCCTACTCTCCGTCACGCTCTGTGGCGCAATCCACCCTTCGGCCGAAATACTATCTGGCACGCTCTCCTGCGTTTAATACTCGTCGCCCTTGAACTGGTAGGTGTTCAAGTCGGCCTCGGTATGTATGATTTCATCCATGACATGATATCACCTTACAGTAGATGCTCTCGCCATGTATTCTGATGTTGAATTTGGGCGAAATACAAGCGATTCAATGCTGCGTGGAGAATCCCGGAGGCTTTGGTCCTGTTCGAGATCGACGCGACCTTTTGTGGCGAAGGAGCTGTTATCGACTCCTGGTAGTATTGTTTTTAGTACTTCTTGTCTATATTCCATGCAACTGAGCATAGCGAAAATGATACTAGTAATAATACTACGTCTTTTATCAAAGAATAATAATGGGCGGTTCGTGTGAAGCTATCCAGTCAATCAATTACTATAACCAGCACTAGAGCTCAGAATGCCTAGTCCCTATAAGCACTGGTTGCGGACCACTAAAACCACTGGCATGGGTCGGCAAATGCCGGTAAAATGCACCAGACCCGGTAAAACGGCGGCTCGATTTTCCACTGCTAACAATCAATTTCCCGTCATCAACTATTCCCGATGCCGACGCCAAAAATTTGGCGATAGTTTCACCACAGGTCCCAGCAAATGCGCCTTAATTGGCACACACCTCAGCTCGACACCGCCTCCCGCCATCAGAGATTGATCCCAAAATGTCTTCCGCGAATAAAGAGGATGCATGTCCCGTCGATCACAAAACCCGCGACGCATGGCTCTCCCAAGCTCGCGCAGCCGAAGCTACCAAGTCGCAAGCCGCCGCCGCCCAATGTCCCGTGGACCATACCTCACAAGCGCAGTCCAAGTCATGGACTCAGGTAATAACATCTTATATGCCCTGGACGTCAGCATCAACGGCACCAGCCACCCCCGAAATCAAGCCTCGCAATGCTGCTCTCACCACTGATCGCGTCATCTCGACTATTCCCCGATCTACCACCGGGTCCGAGGCATGTCCCGTAGACCACGGCGCATCCGCCAATGCACCCAACGCCGAAATCGAATCCGGCGTCGACGCCTCCGGGAACTGGGTCTATCCCTCGGAGAAGATGTTTTTCGACGCCATGAAGCGCAAGGGCTACGATGCGAGAGTCGCAGACATGAAAACCGTGGTGCCGATTCATAATGCCGTCAACGAACGCGCCTGGCAGCAGATTAAAGAGTGGGAGGCTCCGTATCTCTCAAAATCAAGGTATGTTTCCAAACCATTCGGTTTCTCCCTGGACGCCCGCCCAGTGCTGACAAGAGGCGATTGTCAGCTGCGGCGGGCCAAAACTCGAATCCTTCGCCAACAAAAACGACCGCATGACGCCGACCGCCCGTATCAACACCATCCTCGGATACACCGCGCCCTTTGACCGCCACGACTGGGTTATTGACCGATGCGGCACTCGCGTCGAATACGTGATTGACTTTTATGCCGGGCGGCCGGGCGCCAAGGATAAGGCCGGGCCGAGCTTTTATCTTGACGTGCGGCCCAAGCTGAATACCTGGGAGGGCGTCAAGATGCGCGCCATGCGATGGACGGGTTTGGCGTGACGCCCCTGCCAAGGGCGGCTGAATATTGGCATTGCCTTCACTCTGTACAAAAGGAAGAAAAGAGTTTACGAAAACCTGTATGATACCATTTGGCGTTGGGCGGCATCTACACCAGTTGCCTGCGTGCGTTATAGACGAGCTTTTGCTCTTGTACAATATACTCCTCCCCATGTTTGGAGAAGTTTCCCCTCTTCGTTCGTTCTCATACCAATCGTCTAGTTCGCCATTCTGGCGAGTCAATCGTAAGCTATTCTACATGATTTTCGCATCCATCAATCTTTGCGTGGCTACTCGTCCTTCCGGGCAGCTGACTGGGCACGGAGTCGAATAGGCGCACTCGTCTCAAAGGCCTGCGCCTCCAGATCCCAACCCAGCCGGCTCAGTGACTTCCACAGGTCCTCGTCATCCGCGTGCCTCTGCGTGAGTACTGCGGAGGTCTCGACGTGGCGGCCCTCCTTATCCATCGACCAAGCAGTCTCCATTGCTTTAAACCACGCCAAGACGGCGTGTCTGGGTTCGCAGCCGAACCAAAGCAGTACCTTGATGACTCCAATACGGCCGTCGCGCGGCTCCGTAACAAACAAGGTGTACTCTTCCCCATCTACCACCTTGACTCGTCTCCCATTGCAGCTCGCAGCGGCCCTTTGGTAGCTCTCGGCAAATTCAATCTTGCAAACCCGTTCGGCAAGGCGGCCACCTACCACAGGAAGCCACAAGACAATGTTCTCCCGCGCGGCCACGGCCTCTGGAGTAAGCACCCTCCCCGTCGTCATGTACTCCCGGAACAGAATCGTAGCTCGCTGGCGATTAAGCGTCGTCATACAAACGCTCCTCACGCCGAGATAGTTCATCCAGAGATGCGCAAAGACCAAAGCCACCATCAAATAAACGACACTCTGATGATCTTGCACAAGCTTGACCACCAGCGTGCCGACGACAAGCCCAATCAACCCCACCGCCGTTTCCTGGCTGGCCTCCTTGGCATTCAGCTCGGCCAAGTTGTCGTGTTTGGCAAAGTGCACGCTCAAGGCGGCCTTGCTAGCACCGGCCGCCACTCCGCACAGGGCCCGCAGGGCCTGCCCGACAGAGAGGGCCAGAATCTTGCCGTAGTCCCCAAAGTAGGGGCTGTAGAGCTCGAGGAAAAACGCCGAGTCGTTGAAGATGTCGGCCAGGAAGCGGAACCGCTTGGCGTCGGGCTCGATGCGCAGGCCGAAGCGGTGCGCGAACACGATGGTGGCGATGCGGGACGTGGCATCCGTGAGGATGGTGATGAGCATCGCAAATGTGGCGGAGGAGTCGGCATCTCCCACCCCCAGGCCCTGGAGCAAAGCTCGGTTGGCCAGGAGGGACGTGATTGTCGAGAAGAAAGCCTGCAGAGAATCATACGTTTGATAGGCGAGGTAGTCGTTGGATACGGAGTGAGGAAATCCAATGGGCAGAAAGGCGTCTGAGAGAAATCGTTTCCATTCCCGCACGGAGCTGTGAATGATGCTGTTTGGCTCGGTTTTGGATTCCAGCTGCCGCGTGAAATGTCAGTAGATTGATTCATGGGTTGGTGGTGGAGTGAGTGAGTGAGTTGAGTGTTGGAGCATGGTGGAACTGACAATTGCTATGGTATTGTCTGAGCGATGAAGCCAGCGACGTTGAACATTGCCCGACTTGTCAAGCTCAGAAATCTCGACATCGTCCCCTTGCTTGATCAAATCTGCGAACTGAATGGGCGTCTGGTCATTGGTATCGTTGTGGAGGGCTTTTTGCTCCATGGTGAGTGAGATGTCAGAGGTGCGAAATTGCCAAAGTGGTGCCGGAATCGTACGGAGTAATAAGCCATAAATGAGATGACAATGATTTCGCACCGTGGTCCGCAACACACGTTTGGAAAGAAAAAAAGAGAGAAAAACTGAATGGTGAAGAGGAAAAGTGTGGGTTCACGTGTTCATGACACGGTGTTGTGAAAACATGCCTGTTTATTTTAATAGCCAGTCGCTCACAGCTGCCAACTACACCCTGCCAGCTGGTGATGGCGGGCGGGATGACTGACGCCGACCAAGCTTCAGGCCGCGTTATGTTGCGAGAGTTCCGCGAATCACCCGAAATCACCTGGTGTGTCGAAGAAAGTTGCCAATATGCAATGCCTCTGAGTAATTACAGCACTTCATTAATATATATGGCTTGCTTCTAGGTGAACAATGACATGTCTAGCCTCAAATCTCACAGCATGCCTACCTCTTCACAGCCTGACCATCCTCACCCACCAAATACTCTTCCGTCTTCAACGGACCCTCGCCAACGCCAGTCATAATGACTCTGCTCACTCCGTCCTTCAACGTGCTGGCAATTCCATCTTCCAACTTTGCGCCAGACTTGACGCTAGAGCTGTCGTCTTTCCATCCCGAAACGCCATTCAGAACTCCTGCAAACGCACCAAGCACTGTGGGGGCATCTTCCTCAAGATAGTAAACGACGCAGTTGGGACCGGCATCAAACGTGTAAGCGGCAATGGTCTTTCCAGCCTTGGCGTTGATTGACTCCACGGCGCGGATAGCCGCACGAGAGACGTCGTTCATGTAGAAAATTGGGGGATATGTATCGGCACAGCAGGCGTGGAACGAATTGGAGTCGCGCATGGTAACTTCGGCAAACTTGGCAAAGTCCTTGGCCTTGATAGCCTTCTCCATGAGGTCCATGTTGGCGGGGACGACTTGGGCGATTCTCTGCTGGAACAAGCCGGACGTGGCGACTGTTTGCTGCATGCCAGAGGTGGATGAAACGCCCTTCTTGGCGGCGCTGACAACGAGGATAAGTGCACGCATGCTGGGCCAGTGCGACGCCGGCGCGACCAGATCGGCCATGGAGTCGCTCCCGTCCTCCTTGTCTCCCATTCTCCACGCAACATAGCCGCCAAAGAGGCTGCGGCATGCTGACCCAGAACCCTGTCTAGCAATCAGGGAAAGCTCTGACGGCGACTCTGGAAGTTCGTATAGGTTGGCAATGGCCTGAACCAAGGCGGCGAAGCCAGCGGCCGAGGAAGCCAGACCAGCAGCTGTGGGGAAGTTGTTCTCGGAGACAATCTTCAGGGGCAAGGTCGACAACTTGGGAAGAGATGCGTTGGAAGCTTCCAGGGCGGCACGGCGAGCTCTCAATTCGCGGAAGCAGGCTTGGGTTCGTGCTCCGGAGATGTCCGAGAGTTCGCCATTGAGC